AAAATTATTGAGGACGGAATTAGTATATACCTTTTTTTAACTGGGACGGAATTGGTATAAAAAAAGGTTCTCAAGACGGAACTCGGATGCAGCCTCGGCCAGAAGGTCGTAGGGATGAATCCGGATCTAACTTTATTTTTTATTTTTAGGTAGGTAGTAAGATGGAAGTAAGTATAGAGTACAAACAAAACCTTAATCCACCGACGTGTTTCTAAGGAAAGCTGAGAAGAGCAGAGAACCCCATATCTAATTTTTAAACGGTAGTTAAACATTTGTATATAGAAACAGTTTTTTTTTATAATTTGTTAACATTAATGAACCATAATAATGTAAATATAATAATAAACCGTAATGGAACAATTTATATTTATTCACAATGACATAATATTAAATAACCACACAAGACACAACCCAAATAATATGACGTGCATATTATAAGATATATCCAAGACATTTTCATCTTAAATTTATTCTGTTTTATCGCAAAGTCTTACTACATCTAATCATWTTTGATTACTATACTAAATTTAAAATAATTTTAGATAACTAAAAATATGTATACCTCATCAGTCTGGTTTCATCGCTATATCTATATCTTTTACTTAAAGGTAAAGTAAAATAATATATCATGTTTAGAGAATATTATTTTCTTGGATAAAATTTTAACGACTGTTATTATTGGATAATGTTCGTATTTACTCGACGATTCCTTAACATTAACACTCATTTATTCAAAAACAATTAACGATTAAAGTTTTTATAGTAATTTTTTAGATATTTTTAAATATTTACAAAATGAAATTTATGGAAAAATACCGCGAAAAATTATTTTTAAGATATAATGAGTGTTTTTTGATAGGTAAATAAATATATACATCGTAATACAAAATAAATCTATACCTAGTTTTGTTTTATTTTATATTTTTATGAACAATAGATAATAACATGGTGGTCTATAGATGCTGAAAATATTAGTATAATATAGGTATTCGGTAAAAACGTTGAAATGTGAAATAATCGTTTTATATTGTCTGATAGCGGTAACAAGCAAAATACTACTGCGATTGATAATATTTCTTAATATACCTAAAACTTTAGTAAGTATTCAGATATTTTTAAAATGCCAGAGGTTGAACGTATTCCTTAAAATCGTCAAAAGAAGAGTAATAGTCACTCATAAATGAATTTTAACATAAACCATATTTTAAACTATTTAAATTATATAGGTAGTTGAAAAAACATAAAATGCATGCATTTTGATATTCGGTGTAGTATATATAGTTATTTTACAGTGAACTTTTTTAGGAATTACATTAAGTCATAAACATTTTTTTTTATAAGCTATGTATTTTTTTTATTACAGAAAAATACACATTAGTGGGAAGGTAATAATAATAATTTGAAGTTAATATTTTATTATAGAAATAATTGCATGCCAACCTGTTCACCGTTGATGTACCAGGCCAGCTGTACTGCGGGTTTCGATCTTCCAGAGGTGCAGTTCACGTTAACAGTGTCTCCAGGCTTGTACCGGTCTTGGCCGCCAGATATGCGAGGTCCTTCATCGGGCGGGGCTAAACAACAATAAAACATTTATATAATATTCGTGCGATATGAGTATAATATTTTGTAATACATTTTAATCATGCAAAAAGAAAATATCCTTAAAAAACGATACGTTTTCTAAATATATATATATTTTTTATTAGCTTTTTATTTTAGATCTAGCTCAACAATTACAAAACGTTTTCTAAATAATGAGTTAAGTTAGGCAATCAATAAGATCATATTAAAATCCTGAGATGATCTAAGTCCAAGTACCTATTTGAAAACATGATATTTGAGCACAYATAAAAATTCTATAAATCCGAATTTCAATTAACGCTTAGAATAAAACAGGTATAAACATGTTGGTAATATATGATCACTTCTCATATTATATTATTACGGTAATATCTCATAGGCCACGGCAGAGTTTATCATATCAGGCATAACTRTATAAGGATTATCGACACAAATTACTATACCGATCCAGTTTGTACACATGTATGTATATAATATTATATGTAATTTACAAAGTATGCCAAATAATAAGACCATACATCGTACACTGACTTTATCAAATTCTGAGGAACTTTATTTAATATGTTTCGGCCGTATAAGAGACGTTTCGAATAAAATACACGTGGAAATGTTTACGTCGATATCACTACGCGATTCGAGACTTTTCGGCAGCGGTAATCCCACGCGTAAACTGTATATGCGTTTAGTTACTCGTATAGTTTTGTGGTTTAATTTTTTTTTTAACTAGTTTCATACCGGTGGAAAAAATATTGTCGCAACTCGGTGTCCAACGTCGACATCGTTAATCAGTCTATTCGAAAAACTTTTACTCGTTTTACAACTTTTTTCTTGTCTAGTGATATTGCGAAATAACATTTCATTATAGAAGTTTGAAATGTCTATGAGAGGCATCGCAACTAACTGCTACCGGAACTTGTAAACGAAATATTTATTATCTCTGTCAAGTCGGAGAAGAGTGAGAAAACCAACCTAATTTCGACTTTTAGTCGGRAAAAAAAGTTTTTTTTTGTTTCAAACGGGGATCATTAACTTTTGGACATTTATATATAACAATATATATATATATATATATATTACACTATAATAATGTGTACAAAATTTATATAAAACAGGATGTCTCGAAAAAAAAATATAAAAAATATAATGTATGATAGTTGGAAAATTCATCAATATCTGTTTTTAAATTTTTTTAAATGAAGAATCTTTGCTCTCTCTAATACATACCGTATATGTAAATGATAAATAAATAATACATACAAATATAAATGATTTTTATCACATTATAACTACACATCATAAATTATAATGTAAAATGTTGATAAAAAAAATGCATTTAAAAATTTTCATTCTATTTTTCGAAAGCAATAATTACTGCTTTCAAATGAAATTTTATGTGACACTATATACACATAACTGTCCAGAGTCGACGATTAATGAAGCGAGATGTATTTTTAATATGTGGTTTCTGCATGTATCCTGTCTGGATTATTTGTATTTGAATTTCTTTGAACTTGAAATCATATAAAACAGTCACCACCAAAAAAGATGAAAAACCACACTTGCTAAAATTCAATAATTTATGTACCATAGTTTACGGGAAAAATTAAACTATGCATCTAATAATATGATTTTTCAACATTAATGTATAGTGATTTCGATARTTATTAGTTATGTCATTGATGTTGGTTTTTTTATTATTAGGGGGAACCCACTGCAGTATAATAGGCCGCTGGGGTTATTTTTGTATATTTTTGTTTTTAGGTTTTATAAGTTGTTAGGAATGCAACACGTGTTTGTGTATATGTGGCAAGGGCAAGGATATGTTGCTAGAAGTCCTGGGTGGTCATCCATSCGGGAACTAGCAACTGCGACCGGTACGTATACGCTCAGTGTGTTTCCGCAGATTGCGCGTACGACCGCGCCTCACTAAGCCACAAGATATTGGTTATTTTAAGGGCMAAAGACACATTACGAAACACATTATTTTATTACGATCTATCGTTTTTAATCTTAAACGTGTGAGTTTATTATGCAAATCAATAACAAATAACTTTAATTTATATAATCATCGTATTGTTCGATATAGGAAGCATACCTACTATATAGGTACATTTTTGGATTATTTTAAGAAACATCTGATAAAGCGACCGAATCAAATATCAAGAGCGAGTTAGACGTAATTGTCCTGACCTTATTTTATAAACTTAAAAGGTACCAGCCATAAAAGATAACACGACATTTTGTATCTTCAATGACATAATATAATAATAACGGTATATCGCGCATCCATTACGTTTTGTTATAGGATACCTACTGCTCCTCTGCAGTATTATTATCGGTGGATATTTTAACGAAATGCCATCAAGCGRCAAGTCATACATACATATTATATATATATTGATTTATTTTCAGGAAAAAAAAAAACGTAAGGAGTCATCGTGAAATCCATTTCAAAAGATAAATTTTGCTAACATACGCGCGTGCTCGCACGTACACACACACACACGTATATTTATGGTTTTTTTTTTGTCCTCGGCAATAAACATTTAGAAACGTAATCGTAAACGTCGTAATGATCCTCCGCCGTTAGCGCATATAATTTACCAATCAAATCGATTCGGTCTACCTAGCTATATATCTAAGAGATTACGGGCGCATATAAGTGTAGGTATATCTACCGAGAGAGCGGTGTACACAGCACTTATATACATATAYGTATATATATTATAAAAGTAATATACTTGTCTGCCACCTTCAGTTCGAGTGTTAGACAGTGGCGCGCTCGAGAGGGTCGGATTGAATTGGATCGCCGAGACAAAGGCGCGCCACCGAGTTAAACCAATTTGCACGTGCGACGACAATATTCTCGTATATATATATATATCGCGGGTTTTACGAGGCGCCGGGGACAGAGGACTACGGTGGATGTATATATATTGTTACCGGTCGTTTAAAACGCACTAAGGTTGAATAAATATTTGGTCGAGTACCCGGAGACTTTTACGTGTAATATATACTATAGTAGGTCCTTCTCTCCGATCCTGCAGTATCATAAACGTGTAATAATATGAACCTCGTTGACGAAGATGACAATATTAGGAGACGGAGAATATATTATTCATATGGTAACCTAAATACAATCGGCGACCATAAATGTTTTTATCCCGTTAAATATGTATTAATTTTATGCGGGACGAAACGAATCACAGTCGACTACCGCGAAAATTACACATCATCAAAGGCATTTTAAAGCGTATGGTTTAACGTCTTAATCGTTATTCTACTTGGGCGAAATTCATTTGACAGCGCATAAAATTTATATCAGACGTTTTAGATTAATGGAATTTAATAATAGCTATGCATTATAGTGAGTAGCCCGTCTGWAGTAGTAGTTATTGTAATAGAATTTGGAATAACTCGACTATTGTTAAAAACAGCTAGTTCACGTCACTTTCGGAAGTCTGGCTATAGTTAATAGACAATAGTTTTTAATATTAATCTCATTTATTTACTATTATAATATTAGTCTTATATAATAAATCATAACAAGTTATGATTCCGTGGACCACGATAATAATATTATACTAACATGTAACTAATTTTTGATTTATAGTTTTTTGCGTAAGTCACCATCGATACAAATGTTGAAAATATTACATTACAAACCTAAAATTTCATTCTAAAATAACAAATTTTAAAACCTCAGAAGTTGGAAATTAGGGAATAGTGTTATTATTAAATTATAATATTACGAGTTGATTATTGAAACAACAAATGTGCGTGCGTGCGGTTATTGAGGAAATCTCACGATTCAGGGGTAATGGGTATACATTAATTCGTTGATAAAGCATTTATATTTTGATTTAAACTATGGTAAGTAACGGTTATTGATCTCTGTGGCTAAACAAATTTCATAGTGTTTAATTTTGAAGCATATCTCTTCTCATGTGTAGGTATGTATAGTTATAAAACGTAAGTGATTCGTTTGATATCAACGAATTAGTATAAAAAATTGTAAAGTAAACAAAAATTATTTATATTTTATGACGCAATAAATTGTCAAATTATCATTGTCTATTTGAGGTAATATTTTACTAGGTTCCTTAGTGGTTTTGATTAATTTGTTTTATTTACGGATTCATAAATTTATTTGTTCACTACATTTTTCAACCTTAACGTTTGTGTTGATCTGTTAAAATTAACGATTTTTTTCCAAGCGACAATATAATAAATTTTTAGTGTAACGAATAGGTTTACATTAATGTAAACATTAACAATAAAATTAACATTAATACTATAGTTGTCTCTAGTAGTGATTTTTGGGTATTAAAAATACAATTGTCATACTATGATTATTTTATGGTGTTGTCGATGATAAAATGAAACTTACCGACAGTTAGCATAGAGCTGTGATTGGTGACCGTTTGGAATGACGGCGCTTCGGCTGAAACTTCGCATCGGTATTTGCCGCTACTCGCCAGTTCCAGGGGTTTCAAAACAACGCTTTCTGCCGTCGATTGTTTCTCCTGAAATTAAACAAGCCGGTAACGATGTTAGTATTATCTATCGAATCGTATATAGTATGCACACCAAACGCAAATTGTTCACGTTCTTCGGYATTGACCTAGTTATTGATTTTCAAAATGTGAATTACATGTACCATGTGACAAGCGTCTGTGGCAAGTACCGGATACGTGAYGAAAATACCACCGTGGAGTTAATAACGATAATAATAGTAATTATTCCTCTTATGGTATAATATTCACACGCAWATAATATGTGTCACACTATTATGTAGTAAGATCGCATTTAATTTACCATCAAACACGCATGTTATAATTTCTATCRAATTAAGACCATGATAATGGCTTTGCGAGGTACGTACCTTAATATCCAAAGTGTATAATAATGTGTGGCGGGAAAATGAATATTAGTGGGTTCCTGCCAAACGTCTTCTAACCACTACCCCCGTAGCCAACACCGACCATTTACCATGTATCTAACACGAATTACCGGAGTATCTACAGCGGGATGACWCATCACGTAACGTCGTCGCGTTTTATGTAAAACATCAGTTTACTGAGTCGAATCACTTACTTTCATCTGCTTTGTGACGTATACATAAACATAATACACTTTTATTGAAGTAGAATGTAAATACAACGTGGCAAATTGTTTTAACAATAGAAATGGTTCATGAAGCTCGTTAAAACAATGACATAAAAAAACAGGATCAATGCACAAAAGTTTTTAACTAACCGAAAGTTACGGATGCCTTTTATTGATAGTATGACAAGAGCGCTGTACTCTCTATAGCTAGGAAGAAATCTATAAACTTATCGTCTTTAAATAATGTTGCCATGTTCATTATTGTTGTTCTATTAAATATATTAAAAAATGTTAATTGAATGGCAACTTAGGTACCAGGTTTGGAGARTTCATTTACTTATTAGGAATTTCAAATCACTTCTATCATTCATTATGTATAATACAGTGTCCGTGAGGATTTACCCATTTCGATATCTCCCGAAATAATGGTGATATCGAAATTCTGGTTTTGTAATAAAACTCATAGAGATAAGAACTACAATTATTTCATATTTTAATGTTTTGGTAAAAAAGTAAAAAAATATATTTTTATATTTAATTATTTCCAAAAAAATTAAAGATAGCTGTTTTGTAGAGTTTATTTTTCTAAAAATATTGACGTTTCAACATTTTATTTTCATTAATTACCCGACTTTTAATAATTTTTTTAGCTTCAATAAAAATTACGAATTATTTAACACCATAATGTTATCAAACATATGACCCACCGCACAGWGTGCATTTCCATACGGTCGGCCGAATACTTTCCGTGTTCCTAATAGTTATAAATTTATAATCATATTTAAACTAGAAAAATTCAAATTTCTATAGGTACATTTCAAAATTAGAAAAAATATAAAAATCAGGAAATAAATGGAAATACAATTTTGAAACGTCAATATTTTCAGAAAAATAAACTCTACAAAATGGCTATCTTTAATTTTTTTGGAAATAATTTAAAATAATTTAAAATAATTTTTTTTCTTATTTTTTTTTACAAAAACATTAAAATAAATTTAAAAATGAAATAATTGTAGTTCATAATCCTGTGAATCTTATTATAAAACCAGAATTTTGATATCCCGTTATTTCGTGAGATATCACTACAATGGCCAATGGGTAAATCTTCACGAGACGCCTTTTATAGGTATATTACATACAGTAAACAGAAATATATTCGACGTSTAATTGATAAAATCGGCGGTTAAAAGTATTATTATGTCGCATGTTAAGATTATGTTTACTAMCTATGAAACTATAGCATAACACATGACATTTAAAACAAAAATAATACACAAAAATAAGTCAAAAGTTGCAGATCCATAGGTTTCAGAGTATACTCGTGGCGTAAATTATTGAAAAAAAAAAAACAATTAAATGTATTATGTATATAATGTAGAGTACAAACATAAGATACAAAAAATATTCTGTTCTATAAAGGAAATATTAAGTCAATAAAAAAATCAAAACAGCTTTAATTTCTTGTGAAAAAAAAAAACAATATGACTAGATGTCACTTGGTTAAATAAATTTATAATCAAGATTGAGAACATGATAAAAATATATGCTAATTTTATTTAGATATTTTATGACACGGCGCTTTGTATATGCAATTATACTACAGTGTTTTTTTTTTAAGTACTAGTGAACGTTATAGTCATGACAAATTAAATTAGAAAGGTATCATCACAGTTTTTTGACACGCATTCTCCGCTCT